AAAACCATTTCTCTTCAATTTGTGGTTGTAAGATTCAAAATGGCCAATACCAGTCCATTTCAGCTCACTAATGCCTAAGATATCGATGTTTATGCGTTCCATTTCATTTTTGACAATTTCCAATTTTCCTAGATTCATACTTTGTACATTCCATGTTCCGATTTTCAATGGATGTTTACAGCTGTTTCTCTTCATTTTGAGTTGTGCCCCATCAGCAAATGAAGGTCCACAGGCTTTACTCCCATGGGCTTTACTTCATTCGCATCATCATGGTCAACTCTACCCTGAGGAGGCAGCTCTTCCCCAGTCGCATTTTGAGTGCCTTTCAACCTGAGGGGTTCATTTTCTGGCACTATATCTGACAGTGTATCTCTGCTCTTCATAAGGTTTTCAGTGACTAAATATTTGGAAGTAGTTCGTCACTCCTTCTTCCCAGTCTGTCTTCGTCTGGAAGCTCATCTGAAACCTGTCCACCATGGGTGACCCTGCTGGTATTTAAAATGTCCAGGGCATAGCTTCCAGAATCACAGAAATTCACAAGCCACCACAGTGTTACAAAACAAATGAGTGGTGGGTAACTGAAGTAGCTTGTGTTAAAATTGTGTATGGGGAACAAGGTGGTATAGATTCCCGTTCCTTGCTGCCACCCCTCTAGTACTGCTAAATTGCCTGGAAATTACTCATCAGATATCAATACAAGGGCTGGGTATGTCTGAGGAGCATCCACATTTGTGTCTTCAATGAATATACGTGCCTGCACTCACATATTCGTATTTACAAATATCTATATTGTTGTTAGCAGTCCTGGTATGGCGTCATAGGATAAGCATTTGACCACAAGGTCAGTTTGAACCACAAGGTCGGTGGTTCAAATTCACCAGCCATTCCTTAGAAACCCTATACAGGGTTGCTATAAGCTGGAACCGATTTGACGGCACTTAGCAACAACAACAACTACAACATGTTGTTGTGAAGTGCTGTCAAGTCAGTTACAACTCATAGTGAACCTGTGTAGGGTTTCTGAGGAGTGGCTGGTGTGTTTGAACCACAGACCTTATGGCTAGCAATCTACAGTGCCACACCAGGACTCCAGAGCAAGGGAAGACCAAGAGAGACCTAGTGGGGGCCCAAACCTTCATACCTGAGGCACTGGTCAGCTGGCTGGCACACCTGTACGGGCAACTTTGTAGCTTCAATATGTTCTCACCTATGTACACACCTGCATCTCCCTCTATACCAGTATGCGTGTACCCAACCATAGTATGTGCACAGACACTCATTTTTCCTTTGGTTGTGCATTGCTCACTACATCCACATTTGGTTACTTGCTTCTCACCCAAAACAGAAACCTAGCAATCCCTACAATCTAAAGTCTACTTTCCTCTCCTTCTGATGTTGCTGAGACTTCTGCTCAGTCTCTACTAGTGCCACCTACAGGGGTGGGGTGCCCTCCCTGGGGCCACGTCATATCATGGGGCTACCTCCTGTGGGGGGTGGAGATGATGAGATTAGCTGGACCTGGGTCTCCCTATGCCATTGGTAAAAGCAAGGACAGTCCAGGCTCTGCTGACACTGCTCCCCTGTGGGAATAATGCCATCCCTCAGGTGTCCCAGATGTAAAATAGGGGCTTCATTTGGACCAGGGGTTTCAAAGCTGCCCATGTAGGTGGGCCAGGCAGCTGGCCAGTGCCTTGGGTGTGGAGCAGAGGTGTGGGCTCCTACTAGGTCTCTTTGGGGCTCCCTTTGCCCTGGTTCTCTGTCTATGCCTATTGACAGTCCAGGGCTATCCAAGGGCATACAGTAGATAAAAACAAAACTCAAGAATCACACCACACTGGTGTTCTGAATTTGAGAGCTCAGAACTATAGTCTCATGGGACACCTCAGTCAGTTGGCAAAACATAGTTCACAAAACATCATCATCTACAGCCTAGTGAAGTGAGTAGTACACAGGGTCTTAAGAAACTCTTGAGTAGCCATATAGGGTACAATTATGGGTCTCTAGGAGTCCTGGTGAGGCGCTGTGGGTTAATGCGCTGGACTGCAAAGTCGGTTTGAACTGCAAGGTAGGCAGTTCCAGCTCACCAGCAGCTCCTCAGAAACCCTATACAGGGTCACTGTGGGTTGGAACTGACTCAATGGCACTTAACAACAACAACAATAACAACAGTTAGAAGGTAAACAAAAGCCGAGAAGAAACAAGTCTTCTCTACAACCTCACCCAGAAGAACCAGATAGTATTTGGCTACCACCACTGACTGTGCTGACCTAAGTAGAATGGGAGAGAAATGTGGAGTAGAACTCAAAACTTTTTATTTTAAACAGATCCAGAAAAATTGGGATAGTCGAGAACAGAGGTTTCCCTGGAACCATGGCCCCAAGACCGCTTAAACCAGAATCATCTGTTAGTGGCATAGAAAATAAAGGCTATTATGCCTAAGATTGGGACTACTTAAAACCCATCAATATGAGACCAAAAGGTCAACAATTACTCAAAAGCAAAGATGAGCAGAGAAAGGGACGGGAAACGAGAGTACTGGATATGGAACAGACAAAAAACACTTCTGTGACACATGTGACTAATGCCACGAAACAATTTGTGTGGAAATTGTCCAAATGGAAACGTAACTCACTTTATAAACTTTCACCAAAAATTCAAGAAAATATGAGTATTACTAAAAAAAGAGAGAGAATGAGAATACAAATGAAGCTGAGCAGAATAGTATTGCAAAGACTCAGAAAACTAAACTGTCATTGGAATTACAGCCCACAAAAGCAAGCTATTAGAGACAATTTAAAGAAGATTGAGGGTTTTCTAATAAAATAGCCAAAATAGCCAGGATACAATAGAAAATCACACATTATAACAAAAGCAGTTAAAGTACAATTAGAACAAGAAAAAAAAAAAATCAAATGACACCAATACCAAGATGAATCAGGTATTGGAATCATAAAAATATTTCAACAAATAATTATAAAGTCTCTTAAGACAAATGAAAACATAGAAAATGCAAAGATTTTATACAAAAGAACCAAATATAAAATATGTTGTTGTTAAATGCTGTTGAGTTGGTCCCAACTCAGAGCAAACCTGTATAGGGTTTCTGAGGAGTTGCTGGTGGGTTTGAACTGCCAACCTTGTGGCGTCTTCAACAGCACCACACCAGGACTCAACTACAAAATATAGAACTAGAAAATACAATGAATGAAATAAAAATCCTGTACATAATACCACAATAAGAAATCATGCAAGTATATAAAATAAATACATCATAAGCAAGAGCAATATGCTTAGGATCCTTTTTGAATGTTTGCTATGTGCCAGATGCTGCTCTGTTTTCTTTATAACAATTCAGTTAACTCTCATTAAATCCTTATGTAATAGACATTATTATTATTATTATTATTACTATTGGTTAGTGGAAAAGGAAATTGAGGCACAGAGAAGTTGAGTGACTTGCTCAAGGTCACACAGCAGAGCCAGGCAGTTTGATTTCAGATCCGTTGCGCTTAGCCATGAATAGTAGTATTCAGTACTATTTTTCTGCCTCTTTGGGATAACTAAATTTGTTTCAGTGAAAAACTAATTTCAATGGGCTATTTCCTGCAGCAAGCAAAGCTTCCTACTTGGTCTCTGTATCCCTTTTCCTATCCTTTTATTCCTCAACAGTTCAGTCTCATCACAGCAGCCAAAAGGATCTCCATTCAAAATGCAAATCAGACGCCAGAGACTCCCCGTCACATTCAGAAGAAAATCCCACTCTTTTCTGAGATTTACAAGGTCCCTGACCATGTTTTTAGGGTCCTTTATACCCATTCTTCTGCCCATTCACCAAGCTCCACCCTCCAACTTTCTTGTCCTTCTTAGAATTTCTCCCTGCCTCAGGTCCTTTGTACATGCTCTTTCCTCAGCCTGTAATGTTTGTTCACCAGACCTTTACTGAGTTGATTTGTACTCATCTTTTTGCTCAGATGGCATATCCCCAGGGAGTCCTTCCCTAACTCCATCTTATACAGTTCAGTTCACATCTCATTGTTGCTCCTTTTTTATAGTCTGTATCCCCCACTAAAGCATGATATTTATCCTGCTTACCAGTTGCTAGAAAAAAATCTGTTTTATTGTAAGAACTGAAAAAAAAATTTTTTTTGATAGACAAATAGATCAATTAAGATAAGTTATGTAAATTTTTATCACTTGACAGTGAGGTAAACTTTAACATTTTGAGAACCAGTTTAAGAATTGATTGTATAAGTACTTATATAAAGCACTTAACCACAACATGAGGCAGGAAGGATAAGGACCAGTGCTAATACCTTAGGAGCCATCCACAGGAAGCAAGAGGTGAAAGATAGAAAAGAACGAGGGACGAACAGTAGGAAGGGTGCTGTTGAGGATCACAGATTGATTCTTGTGAAATATTTGTACTTAATGGAGAGTGGGGAGTCCTGCTGTGGTGCTGTAGGATAAGCCTGGACTGATAACCGTAAGGTCGATGGTTCAAACCCACCATCAGCTCCTTGGAAACCCTCTACAGGGTCTCCAAGAGTCAGAACTGACTCGACAGTACTTAACAACAACAACAACAACAATGGAGAGGGGAAAGAAAAGGAGTCAGAGAAGGAATCATCCTGGGAAGAAACTGGGTTAGAAAGAGTCCTAAGGAACTAAAGGAAGATCAAAAAGGAGGTGACCAATTTTGCTAAAATTTGCAGCAAAGATGAGAAAAATTGTAGGAAAAATATTGAGAAGACTCACTCAATGAGTCTTCACCATTGGGATGATGATCAGTACTACTTAAGGTGAGGAACTGGAAATGGGTTTATCTGCAAATGCTGTTTCCAGGGGTGAGTTACCAGATAGGACAAAGATGTGTTGATGTTTCCATCTTTAGGAAAGATTGAATGGCGTAGCAGCCAAAAGTGAGATGCAACTAAAATCTGACTGGTTCTAATATTAACCAGGTTTGTGACCTAGCACCAACATGCCCAAATGATACTAACCTGTGATATCTCCTTTCACCTAGAAGATAGCAATAGTGGGCATAGAAGAAAGAACTTTCCTTGATACAGATTCCGTCATAATGATATCTGGGGGGTGGAAAAAAAAGGCCGTATAACAAGTCATTTCAAACTCCCTCTATGTTTAGTGTTTGATGGGTGACTGAGAGCAGGATAGGGAATCAGGATTTGGAATTCTCTGGGATTTATCACTAATTCCATGTATTACCAAAAGATAACCAGTCAATCTGCTTGATCAAGCTCTTTTATGTAGAAACAACTTCATTCTACTTCATATGTGCTACTGTTGTTATGGGGAGTCCTGGTGTGGTGCTGTGGGCTAATGCACCAGACTGCAAAGTTGTTTGAACTGCAAGGTCGGTGGTTCAAGCTCACCAGCTACTCCTTGGAAACCCTATACCGGGTTGCTATGGACTGGAATCGACTCGACGGCACTTAACAACAACAACAACATTGTTGTTATGGGGATTCCTGGTGTGGTACTATGGGCTAATGCACTGAACTGCAAGATCAGTTTGAACTGTAAAGTCTGTGGTTCCAAACTCACCAGCTGCTCCTTGGAAACCCTATACAGGGTTGCTATGAGTTGGAGTCGACTCGATGGCACTTAACAACAACAACTGTTGTTGTGAGCTGCCATCGAGTCAGTCTGTGACTCAGGGTGACCCAGAGCACTATGTGACAAAAGACTGCCTGGCCTGTGCCATGCCCATGATCAGCTGCTTACTGGAGTCGTTATTGGCTGATTTGGGGAAGTCATTCACTTGGACTTTCTTCTTCCTTCTGGAAACTGTTCTGCATCATAGCACTGGAAGATGATGTGTCAGCACATGAACTATGAGCTGGAAACCAAACCTGGGTTTCCAGCGTGGAAGGTACGAATTCTACCATGGAATTACCAATGCTCCATTTCACACATATGAGGGGGCTTCAGAGAGACAATGGAAGTTTCCCACTAATGTTTTGAAGTCGCCTTGTATTAGCTATGAAATAAGCTTTAGGATCCCTATTCTAAAGGAAGCCTGGTGGCAAAGTGTTTAACAACTTAGCTGCTAATAATAAGGCTGGTGGTTCAAATCCACTCAACAGCTCCATTGGAGAAAGACCCATCAGTTTGCTTGTGTAAAAGACTTTGCTGTTGTTAAGTGCTGTCGAGTTGATTCCAACTCACAGTGACCCTGTATAGGGTTTCTGAGGAGTGGCTGGTGAGTATGACCCACTGACCTTGCAGTTCAAAGTGACCTTGTGGTCCAGTGCTTATCACCCAGTGCTGCCCCAGGACTCCCTATGAAGATTACAGCCTAGAAAAACCGACAGGGCCGTTCTACTGCTATAGGGGGTTGCTATGAGTTGAAAATTGACTTGACAACACCCAACAACAATTTTAGAGAAAGGAGCTCTGGTGTCTCAGTGGTTAAGCACTCGACTGATAATCGAAAAGTCAGTGGTTGTATGGGAGAAAAGATCTCGTGATTTGCCCCTGTTAAGATGACAACCTAGGCAGCCTATGGGGACAGTTCTACTCTGTCATACATGTAGGGACAAGATGAGTTGGGATAAACTACAAGGCATACAACAGCAACAGTCTTAGAGAGATGCGCCAGGAAGGTTTCCTGGTGCCACCGCTACCAGTAACCTTTGTAAGGAGAAGTGGAGGAACACCTTCCCTATATTGAGAACTGGACCTAGGTCCTCAGGAAGCCAGGATCTGTCTCCACTGTGCAGCCCTTCTCATCTGGTGAGCCCAGCAAAATGGCAGCAGCTTATTCAGGCTCATCACAACAGACCAAAAATGTTTTAAGTTAATTCTTGCCCAATGCTAAATTTGGCAACTTCTTCCACTATCTTCAGTTCCTTCATGGGTGGCAGGCCCTTTCTTAATTTGACTTCAAACCCTTTTAACTGATTTCCTGTCTTGATTTCAAACAAACAAACAAACAGTAATAAAGCAGTGACAGGACATGATGCACCCATATGTGTCCATAGCTTTAGGACCATACATCCTGAACATCACTCAAATACGCTAAGTAGAGGCATACTTAGAAATTATAGTTCAAAGAGTAATTAAAGTGGTTCCATTATTTTATGAGGGTAATTATTTAAGTATCTGGGTAATTATTTAAGTATTTCAGTAATTAGACATTTACATGCTGAAACATTAAAAGTGTTGAAATAAAAATTATTTTGTGACCTCTATGCAAGGAGCTCTGGTAGCGTAGTAGTTACAAATTGGGCTGCTGACCTCAAGGTTGGCAGTTCAAAACTACCAGCCGTTCTGTGGGAGAAAGATGAGGCTTTTGGCTCCCAAGCCTTGGAAACCCTGTGTAGGCTCACTATGAGTTGGAACCGACACCACGGTACTTAACAACAACAACATGCATGAACAAAACCCCTAAGAAAATAGAGAACTGAATTATTTCAGGTACTAGGATTTCATTTGACTAATGAGAACTCTTTTGGTAAAAGTCCTTTACTTATAGTTTGTTTTGTTTTGCAATTTCTTGGCACCCATTTTGTGATTTTTCAAATCCTTACATTAAAAAAATATGTACACACATACACACACACATATATATGTATGTAACTCTACCTGGCACTTCCTCTCGTGCCTAGTCTTCTCGTTCCAAGATCAGGAAAAACCAAGCGCACAAGCTAAGAAAGAAAGAAAGAAGCCAGATTTAAAGTTGCAATTAGAAAACTTACAAATAAATTTTTTTTTAATTAGACATAAAACTTAGATTTCAGTAATTAGACATTTACATGTTGAAATATTGAAAGTGTTGAAATAAAAATTATTTTGTGACCTCTATGCAACAAGCTCTGGTAGCGTAGTGGTTACAAATTGGGCTGCTAACCTCAAGGTCGGCAGTTTGAAACTACCAGCCATTCTGCAGGAGAAAGATGAGGCTTTCCTAATTTGACTTCAAACATGTAAATGTCTAATTACTGAAATACTTACAGTTTTATTTAAAGTTGCAATTAGAAAACTTAGAAATAAAATTTTTTCCCCTGTTAGAATTTTTAAAATTATATTTCCTCATTTTTTGGTTATATATATAAAAAGACAGATATAGGACTTCTGGTTTTGGGGCAGGTAAGCAGAGACAGATAACGTAAGTGCCTCTGCAAAAGCCCAAAAAAGCAAAGAAAGAGCGGTCCATAGAATAGCTGTGGAGTTTTGGATCTCATTTAAGGTTCCAGGTGCCAGTTTCCTGTACCCACCTGTGGAAGCAAAATACAGCAATTTGTGAATTGATCCACAGCTGTGGTAGCCAGTGGCCAGTGGTCCTGAGGTCAGAGGGCGGGACCACAGTCAACCGGAGGCAGTAACCCAGTGCTAGAGGCCGTAGAGCCACTGTGTCTGGAGGGAAAGGTGTGGCTGATTTTTCATCTTTCACTTTTCATTTTTCATGTACCTTTACTCTTCACTCCGATCACACGCTGCCCAGCAGGCACCTTCAGGCAGGCGGAAGCACACCCCCCAAAAGGTCCAGCATTACACACACAGTTTTCCCATGACACAGAAAGGAAACCCGCAGGCTGCTTCTTATGATGTCTGACTCTGGGACCCAGCCCCAAACTTGACCAGGGTGGGGACCCTTTATCCCTGCCTGCACAGCAAAGGCCACTGGACAGCCAATCACAATTTTATTTTTGTTTTTGATTGGTGGTTTCTGTCTCTGCTTTTATATTGTTTCTGTCTTTGGTCCTTTTGGCCTCACTCTTTTCCCAGGGCTTGGAGCTTTTTCCCCCTACCTTACCCAGAAGAGACAGAAACTGTGGTCATATAGCCAAGCTACAAGCATACCCTGTAATACCCTACATCTGGACAAGAGCCAATACCAGCTTCTAGGCATTACACATGAAAAAGGAAGCCTATCTCAAGATTATATCCACCAAGAGATGCTCAGTAAGCTTAACAACAAAACAACATACATCCATTTAAGCATTAAAACCCCAC